ATTTATATTAACAAAAATATACAGATAAGACTTGACCAAGACTTTGAATCCAATTGTTCTGTGCAGTGATGCTGTCTGCACTCAGAACCCAATCAATATCATTACAATGTTTGATATGTATTAATAACCCATTTGGTATCCTACATACTGAAACCCACAGCTTTCACCAATGACACTGTTATTTCTGACATTTAATTAGTATAGACATGGAGACCAAATAATCAATATATTAAATTCCCTGGCCCTAAAAGAGATGGTTACTTATTCTGAATATTAATGACAGGAGGGAGCAAATCTTTTCAGTAAAGGGTGAGATAGTAACTACTTAAGACATTGTGGCCATTCCACATTGCTCTATTCTGCCACTGTAGAAGGAAAACAGGCAGTCGATAGGTAAAGAAATGAGTGTGATTGTGTTCCAAAACCTAGATAGCTGTCCAGTACTTCTTATGTTGTATTTTCATTTTTGTGAAGTTTGAAATATTTCATCAATTCCTATGTGGTTCTTTCCTTGACATATGGATTGTTTAGATTTATGTTATTTGAGTTCTAAATGTTTTGAGGTTTTCCAAGACATCTTATTGATTTCTCATTTAATTCTTCTGTGATGAGAGTACTATTCTATATGATTTCAAATCTTTTACTTATTGAGAAGAATTTTATGATCTGGATAAATTCTATTGTAATGAAAGTGTTATGTGCACTTTAAAAACATGTATGTTTTAATTATAATATGTAGTGTTCTATAAACATTTGTCAGGTCAAGATGATTGAAAAGTGGAATTCAGATCATATTGCTTATGTTTCTATTTGTTTTCACAATTGTGATTGTTAGTCATCATGGTTGACATATCTATTTCTTCAGTTCTGTTGATTTTTGCTTCATATATTTTGAAGCTATTATTAGAAGCACCCATGATTTTTATAACATTGTCTTACTAATTAATTAACCCTTTTATCATTATAAAGTGCCCTTCTATATCTTGGGTGACACTCTTCATTTTAAAATGTATTTTCAAGATGTATTTACACACACAGAGCCATTCTAACATCTTTAAATATGCCATTGCAAGCCGTTTTTAAAGACTATTTTCATTGGGAAGGCAAGTTTAGTTTTTTCTCCTGAAAGATGTTGTTTCCTAATATACACCACAGTTGTTTCTGAAGAGAATTCAGTATTTATTAGAAATCTAAGTTGTTGTTCCTCAGTTTTTAATGTCTGCTTCACTAGTGACTTTCAAGATTATCTTTAGCCTTTCTTTTTTTAGCTGTTTGGCTATGGGATATGTATGAGTATATATGTCTACATAGAATGTCTATATAGAATGTCAGAATAGATATAAGGAACTATATAGACATATATACACATAAATATGTATTATTTTCTTATATATATTCTATTTAGACCTTGCTGAGCTTGAATATGTAATATATGTTTCAAAAATTTGGGAAATGTTTATTCATTGTCTCTTCCCTTCCAATTACATATTTCACACCTTTTTTGTACTACAGTCTATACATTTTTAAAAATTATTTCCTTTTTTCTTAATATCACATAGTTGGCATTGATATATATTTATGTTTGCTATCCTCTTTTGTTATGCCTATTCTACTTTGATATAGTCCAGAAAAATTTGAAATCATACATATTGTATTTGTAATTCTAGAATTTCCCTTATCTTGGTTTTTATATTTCCACTAACAATTGTCCCCTTTTTAATTTATTTTAGCATATTTTCTTGCCTTGTTAATTATATTCATACCATCTTTCTTAAAATATTGTCTGCTAATTCAACCATCTGACTTATCTTAAGGTTGATGCCTATTAATTATCATTTTTAGTTGACTGAATTTTACTTTCCTGATACATCATATAATGAATAACTTTGAATAGTAATCTGACACAGAAATTTTGTTTGGGAGAACTTAAGAATTTGCATCTTCATTCTATTTTTGCGTTGTGGGTATTTCACCATTCTCTGGTTCCAAGGATATGCTTGTCCAAAATGCTTGTGTTTTTAATTCAACCCAGAAAAACTGCTTGTTTTTTATTAGAATCTTATTGAACACCCATGATATTGGTTGGTGTTTTCAATTAGAATAAAGCTTAACAAAAGGAAATTTACCTTCTGCCATCTATTTCTCAAAGTGTTAGCACCTATCCCAAATATGTCTGTTTTATCCACACACTAGAGTCCTCACATTATTGTTATTGCTTGTTGTCCCTGGTTATTTTGCTCTGTATTTTGTCTGGAACCTATAATTGCTCTTTCTGGCAAGTTGCTGTGCAACAGGAGAACTCTTGGTAATGAAAAGTTGTAAACCTGCCCAATTTATTTTTTAAATGTGAATGTAGAGTTCTACAATTACTTCACTACATTTTGTTTCATGGTCTTGGGCCACTGCTACAACCTCATCAGTTATAACTGTCTCTTAACATATATAATAACGCCTAAGATTCATCAATAAAAATGCATAGACTTATACTGAATGTAATGAGATAGTTCAGGTATTGTTTTTAACATCCATTGCATTATCTTTCTTTCACAGTTGTGTTCCCATAGAAACAATTACCTTTAATTCTAGTCATGGCTAAAATTATTTACAGAAATTTAACAGTAATTTAGAGCTAAAATATGTCATTTCAGACTTGCTTCTAGGTTGTCACTAATTCTTGTCACATTGCATAAGGAGAAATAAAGAGGGAAATAAAGAGGCATCCATCTGTGTCTCTCTTATGAGTGTATACAGAATATATACAATATATTAAAATATATAAGATATACACTCATTGAACTTATATATCTGTATTTTATGGATTCATATATTCGTCTTTTTCTATTGCATTATTGTACACTGATAGAAACTCCCTTCTTGTAGGATTTTTCTTGTCAATGATTTCTTTCTTTTTTTTTTTTTTTGGCATAGGCTGCATTTATTCATTCATTCATTCATTCATTCATTTATTTATTTTTATATGCCCCATCTTGTCAATGATTTCTAAGGTGTGTTTAATGCTGCCCTGCCCCCATTATGGAATATTGGTGGAATCACACTGCAGAGCTACCTGTGAGATCAAGCTAAAAATACACATTTTGCCCACCTTCCTCCTCTCTTCTAGCCTGCTTTCTTTACAATCTTACAGAGTTCTCCTAAGAGAACTTCCTCATTCTCATGGCTTGCTTTGGAGATCCCAAACAAAATTAGCCCTCTTTTGTTACTATTAGTATTTGTTTGTTTGCATTTGATTTCACTCTCTCTTTCCAATGAAGAAAGTTAAAAAGAATGGCATTGGGAAACACTACAGATGACCCAACAAAAACCTTCAAGATTTTTCTACCATGTCTTCCCATACTCTGGAGATTAGAAAGCTAAAGATTAGATTTTCCAAAGAGCTAGTCACAAAATGACAAATGTACGATTCCACTTATATGCAGTATTTAAAGCAGCCAGAAGGGAGTTTTACCAGGAACTAGGATCAGGGAGGGATCAGAAGACTTTTACAGGATGCTGTGGTTGTTAGGGAAAGAAAGTGAATGGTTGAATATACACATAGAATTTCAATTTAGCAAGATTTTAAAGTTCTGGAGATCTATTTCATAACAATGGGAATATATGTAGCACTATGGAACTATAGACATAAAAATAGTTAAGATCAGAAGAGCAAAGAATAATAGGATAAATACTTATGTATAAACACGGGAAAATATCCATGTAAATAAATTCTATTGATCTATTTTTGTCTTTTTTTTTACTGATGTATTGTGAACATTTAGAAAATTTTCAAGACATAATATTTGCTCAGCATGAGAACAACTTTTAAATTACAAACATATTTCTTAGCAAAAAAAAAGAAAAACCTACAAAAGGATACACACACACACACACACACACACATATCTATATACCAACATATACTCAACTTTTGTGAATGTGTTGCCAATAATATTTCAGGAAGCAATAAGGAAGCTTGAATCACTTTTCTAACCAAATGATTTTGAAGAAGTTACTTTTCAGGTGACATCATAATATGTAATTACAAACTGACAACATGCAAGAGATCGTAATTTCATTTCATTAAACCTCTGGACATATAGAAATGAATGACTTAAAGAAGTGCTATGATCAACTGTGAGTCTGTTATGACACACAACTAAGAAAAACATTAAGAATTCAAAACTTAGTCAGTCTCCTAATTAAACTAAACTTAATATACTAGCTTAAGAAGTGGGACTCTCTCTCTTGCTTGGAAGTTTCACTTATTTTTGAGATCTATTGGAAATGAAATTTTAGTTACCAAAATTCTTTGAACAGTCCAAAGATCTAATGATAAAGAGTTGCTGGGGTAGATATAGCATGACAAATAGGATTATAGACTATATAAGTAAACACCTCCTTCTGAAAAATAAAGTGAAAGAATATCTTCATATTTTTGAGAAGGAAATAGTATTATAAAAGTTCATATATTAGTTTATTCATCAGTGAATTTAAGTGGTGAAATAGCGAGCCATTTCAATGTAAGCATATATGTGCAATTCATCACTTTAAAAAGGCTTGCGTCCAGAACATTTCAAGAGCTCCTATAAATCCATTAGTAAAACAAACAGCTCTTGACATCTGGTCTGCGTACACTTCAAGAACAAAGCTGGGGGCTTCCCTGGTAGTGCAGGCGGCAGCACGGGTTCAATTCCCACCAGCAGGTGAGAATCCCACATGGCAAAGTAGACCTCTCCTGTCTCGCCCACTGCTCCCCACAGCAGTGTATTTCATCAGTCTACCTGTTCTGTTCCCTGCTCTGTCTTTGGTGAATCCTCTCATCCTCCTGCGCAACTGGCCTCTATCCTGCCTCTTGTATAAATAAATAAATCTAAAAAAAAAAAGAACAAAGTTGGTCTCATCAGACTCCACCTGGCTTTCCTCTTCTCGAGAGTACCAGGGCTTTTTCTTTTTCCGGGTCACCCAGTCCTGCCCATGGAGGCGGCTTCCTCACCTTCCTTGGGGGTCTCTGGAGCCTACGGACAAGGCAGCGGGTTCTCTTCTTCTTGATTCAGCTGTTTCATCTTCCTGGAAGATTCCACTCAAAGCCATACAATGAAATTCATGTCCAATTCTTTTAGTTTAAGCAGACAAAATCCCTATGGAAGTCATGCAAAAACAGACTCTTAGATAAGTAGTAAAAAAAATTACTACCACTATTTTCATGCTGTGTTGGAATCAAGGGGAGAGAAAATGTTAACACAAGTTAGCTTTGCCGGAAAAAGCTAACTTGCGGCAGATCCTGGTCACTTTGATCCTTTATGGAGTATTCCAACAAAGCCAGCTAAAATTGCTGTTTAGTTATTCTGCCCTGTGATTTTATGCAAAAATAGGTAATATGGTTTAAAAGTAGATTTGGTTTGCAAACTTTTGCTATGCTGTTGAAACAAGTTGGGATCAAGATTGAGAGAAACTATTTTTGCATAAGCTGAATCAATTTTAATATTTTTCATGTGATTTGATATCTTTGCTGTTTTGTTTTGGCTAATGCCACCAGAATTTTTATTTATTTATTTGTTTATTTGTTTATTTATTTTTGGCTTGGACTGATAATCTATTTCCCAGGAATGGAGGACTTTTGCTTTCCACAATGGGCAATATCTGGAGAGACTGGTTTGCTTTCCAAAGGGAACCCTGAGAAAAATTTTCATCTAAGACTGTACCCCAGCATCCATACATTTGATATTAAACACCATGGAAATGGTGGCAAAAAATGAAAGGGGGGAATTGTTCAGGGGAAAGAATGCCCTGAGCTAATTCCATACAGGCTTTGTGGATGCCACCCCCACTCCATCAAAACAAATCCCATGATCCCCTTCCATGATCCCCAAAGGGAAGTTGCGAGGACCTAAGGGTGGAATTAAACAGCCATTTTTCTCTGACTGTAAAAAAAAAAAAACAGCCATGTTAGTGGGGTCTGGGGCACCTGGCTTGTGCTCTTGGCCAAGGAGCTTTGGTCTCGGCGGGTCATTTGGGATTCCAGGTCAGTGGAACAGGTAGGACACATTTAAGAATTTATCTCCCTCTTTTCTCCCTGAGTTGTACATTTCCTCATCCCCCTTCCCTTGTAAATAAACCTTTTGTTAACCTTAAAAAAAAAAAAATTGTTCAACCCAAAAAAACACCCAGCTACAAATCACACAAGGGAAAGATCCAAACAAGAAAGAGTCAGAAGACAGAAGGCAGAAAGGTTTGTGCTAAGGACAGTGGCTTCCCCCGAGATCCCAGCTTCCCCAGATCCTTTGCTTCCATGCTTTCTGGAGTCTGGATTCTTCAGCTAATTCTCTTTTTTTTTTTTGAGAATTCCATATTGTGGTAAAGTATTTCATGTGTTCCTCTGTTTTCCCCAGGATTTTGCTTTTTGTTTTGCTTGTTTTTAATAGGTAACTCACAGCTATTTAACCTGCTTTACTTATAAAGTATATGCTTCCTGGCTAAGGAAGTTCATCAGTGGTGTTTCTCTTGTTGCTTTTCGTAGCATTAGGATGCCATTGTACAGCCTGAGAGGAAAAAAAAAAGGCCACTGTTCTTTTTTTTTTTTTTTTAAGATTTATTTATTTATTTATACAAGCTCTGGGCACAGTCAGAAGCATGGGAGGGCGAGAGAATTCAGCAGAGCCAGAGCGGGAGCAGAACAGGCAGAGTGAAGAAGTACACTGCTGAGGGGAGCAGCGGGGGCGCAGGAGAGGTCTGAGAGCCATGTGGGACCCTCATCGGCGGACGGGATCGAACCAGCGCTGCAGAGGCTGTGGGCAGCTTCGCAACACAGCGCTCAACCACTGAGCCACCAGAGAGGAAAAGGCCTCTAGTCTTATATCCAATTTTAAATAAGGAAAAACGAGTACTGGGATTTTGCAGTTCAATTTTTACTTTTTTAACCAGAGTGGGTGTGTGCCCTAATTTATACTCCAAGAAAAGTAATATAATAAATTTGTTGAGTCTAAATTTGAGTTTATAATCTTTTATGTAGTTCATTAAGTCTTCCTGTAAGGAAAGGGAGAGTGCTTATTTTTTTTATTTTAATATGGAAAATATAGTCTTCTAAAAATTGAAGCAAAATATTAATTTTCAGAGAAATAATTGTCAGCATCTTATTTCACAGATCAATTCTAGTATTCATTGCTGTGCCAACTAATTGGAAAATATAAGTGTCTTCATCTCCCTATTATGCAATTATAGAAAATGAAAAATTCATGCCTAATCCTCATACAATGGAAATAATAAGTCCTTCAATATAAGCTATGATGGGCAGTACAGTTTGTTGTCAACCACAGTACAAATTTCCAAAAATACATGGACATGTATAAGATCAAAGGGTAAATTTTAATTTAAAAACTGTTGGAAGACTTTGCTTTTTCCATTTTTATATTGAAGCAAATTTCATCTTCAAGCTTAATATATTTTAGGAACTAGAATTCTCGTTAGGAAATTTAAGTTCCAATATGTTTCCTAATAGCAGATGATTCCTCAGATTCTCAAAAAAACTAAGCAATGAAAACTCATAAGGTGATGATAATTAAACAAAATAAATACATGTCTGAAGAATCAAGATTTTAAAATCACATGTTTTATGAAATTTTAGCAAATATGTAAAGAGTAAAGAGCAATAACTGCAACCCTTTTTGCATCATTTTATATGAATAAGAGGGAAAATATGAACTTCTTAGAGGTCATAACTTTAAATAAAACTACTCAACCCCTAAAATTTAAAAATGGACAGGATTGAAATCCTGATGTCCTTGCTCTCATGTTATGATTGAAAAGCACAAATTCTTTTGACTTTGACTGTTGAAATATTGAAACTATATCAATGGAGAATGAAGTTGATTTTGTCATATCCAAATTCTAGATGTAGTATTTAACAAAGGTCTATATAATTTCTGTAAATGCAGTATCTATTGGAGAGGAGGCCATGAAATTAATTGCCAGGGAACCAGTGGAATTATTTCTTTCAATACATGAATTCAGTAAAGTTCAACATATCTTCTGTTCTGATCCTGGTATCATTGATAGAAATAAATTTAGCAATGCAACTCCCCATGTTTTGAGGACCTCTTGTTTCTAAGCCATATATTTCCCCACATCATAACAACCAATCCTGTCTACATGTCCTAGTTTTAGAATTTACTCTCTCCATATCTCGGGTTTTTCCTTTTTGAGATATGCTTTTTTTTTTTTTTTTTGTTAAAGGTTTTTTGTTTGTTTGTTTCATGCTGAGACTTTGGCTTTTGTTTTGTACATACTAAGAGAACTCACTTACTCCTACAATTACAGTTTATACCTAAATGTTAGTGACTATTACCTTACCTAGTTTGAGAAATTTCCAAGATCAGATGATCCCACTTGTAATTGCCTGAATCCTGTTGTAAACCTTTGCCTTTTATTTATAGTTTTAGATTCTCCCATGGTCTCCTGCTCCATTGATTTCTACATCATCTAACTGTACCACAATGTGGTATTTCTATTTACCTATGGCAGTATTCAAGTTGGATAGTCCTCTTAATTCCTTTTACTCCATACCATTGACCACATTCAATTAATCACCATGTTCTGCCAGGAATATCCTTGACTTCTGTAAAATCTGCCTACTTCTTTCAACTGTTACTCCCCTTATCTAGACTCACATAAACTGCTGAAAACTCATCATATCTTCATCTGTGCCTTCATATATAATCCTTTGCATGTGATGAATCAAAGCAATCTCTCTAAAACTCAAGTCTTCAATAATTACTCACAGTTCATTTAATGATATTCAAATATTTACCATTGCATGATATCAACTGTGTTTCTAAGCAAACTCTCTCCCTGCTGACCTTAGGTTCCTATCAAAGAAAATTTCTTTTAGTTATTTAAACATATTAGTCTTATTATAGATCTTTGTACATGCTGGTAAATTTATGTGGAATTTTAACCCACGTCCCCACTCTTTTAGTTTAACTCCTACCTTTAACCTACAGTTCTTTATTTAGATATCTCTCACTGGCAAACATTTTCTGACTCTTAAAACTTAGTTAATTAATTTTCTTACATGTCCCCATAACATGAAAAATTTTCTTTATATTATAGCATAGCTTTATAACATATCTGCATAGCAACTTTTTGTAATTCCCCTACATTACACTTATGATGGAATACTATAATTAGCAGTGACCACAACTGTCTTAATGACTTCTAGATTTCCAGTACTTTACATAGATACAGGCACTTATAATATCTAAATAGCAGATTAATTAGTTCAAAACTTTTGTCAGTCAACAACTAAGAACCATCTGTACAATAAAGGGAAATGTGATACCACCTTATTTCTCTCTTTTTATTTTTTACATCTTTCACGATATTTTAATGGTTACACAGGCCAGCCGTATGCCCTGTAAAGCAGGGGAACATGTCACAAGGTGAATACTATGAGGCAGGAAGCTCTAGGAGCCATCTTGGCGTTAGCTGACCTTAATTAGTGATATCTAAATTTCACTTTTTTTTATTTATATCATATTTTTAAACAATGTTTGCTTTTTTTTAATTGCTCTTCTAAAACCCTTTCTTTTAATGTGATTCTTATTAAAATCTCCCTTGCTATCAGTAAAGAAGGTTTGATTCATTTTTTTTTACTTTCTAAGAGTTTAATAAAGGGTACACATTCTACTATTAACAATATTCTAAGCATGAATAGCAATATTGTAAAATTCTTTATGTTTCTATTTGCATTAATTGGCATCATTGCCCCTGGTGGACAAGCTATTATCTAATCTAGCCCTTTTCTGTCTCATTTTGAATGCTTATCTTTATCCAAGTGCTACAGCCAAAATCTTTTCTATTAGTCTTCCTTAGAGGGTGGTTTATTTTATAGCTAAGTTGCAAACACAGTTTCTTCCCAAATTATCCTATCCATTCCATCATTCCCTTCTTATTATCTCAAGACTCCAAAAGACTAAATAAGAAGATGAGGTGCCAGATTCACTGTAACTATAAGAAACAGAGTGACATCCTTAGATATTTTGATGAAATTTTGGGAATGTGTCACTCTCTTTTCAATTAACTCTGACTGATGAATGATGGTAGAGTGTGGGAATTTATCAATGAAGTATCGTGTAAATACACATATAAATATTTAAGATAGGTCACCTGAAATTTTCTGGTACAGTCCCAAGGTTATTCTTCTAAATTGTTTTCTATCATTAGAACCATTGTATGAAATGCATCCACAGTTTGCTTTAGGGCTCCAAGACAATATGTAAACACCTTATAATCAGACACACTAGATCAGTTGGTTTTCATTAAAGAAAGACCAAACATTCAATGATTAAGGAAGTCAAATATATATTATAGTAATGATCTCAGTAAGGTTAGTAAACTCTTTGATAATTAGATACCTTTCAAGTGCATAGCAGGGATCAGCAATTTACTTTGACTTATACCTTTACATTCTACTTTAATTTTTTCTATATTCTTACAGCTCATTTTTGGAGCTCATATTATTTTGTCTTTCTTTAGCACATTAAAAATATATTCCTTACATTTAGTCTCTGAAGCCATGATTGATTTCCAAAATATTTTTGTTTTCTGAAACCCAATTATGTATCAATATTGTCTAATATTCCCATAAGTATTCTTTAAATTTAAATGTTAGAACCTTATCTTGGGCTAACCACAACACAATTTAATTAACCCACTTTCATTTGGGAATTGAAATAATAGGTGCATATCCCATAGTTTTCCCACCCTAAATGGCAACAAGAAACTAATACAGTAAGTCCTCACTTAACATTACTGAAAGGTTCTTGGAATCTTTGACTTCAAGAAAAAGGATGTATCGCAAAACCAATTTACCATAGACTAATTTATATAAACAAGAGTTAATTCCTATGGCAAATCTCCAGTCACAAAATCATCACCAACTTCTAAGTAAAGACCCAAAATTCTTCTTACTTCTAATAAAATAATTTGTATTAATTTATTCATTTGTTTTCCAACTCATTTCTTACATTTCAGAATCATGGTGGTCACACTACCCCTGTAGTTCAAGGTACAAGATGGGACCCAACTCTAGCCATGATGCCCTTGCATTGCAGGTTACACACACGCACACACACACACACTCCCTGTGGCTGGAACAATTTAGACACACCAATGAACCTAACTTGCACATATTTAGATGTGTGAAGATTACATGGAGAACACCTGCTTATGCATGGGTGAAATAGGCAAACTCCACACCAGCTGTGGTCCCAGCCAAAAATCAATTATGTTTTCTCATCAACATTATAAAGAAACAATGCTAAATGAAATGACATTATTCAAGGACCTGCTATACACTATTAATAATAAAAAGGAAAATATACTAAGTTATATGTTAAAAAAAAGTCAGTAAAAAACTGACCTCTTTAGGTTGTCAACTTTCACCTTCAGATGTTCACTGTTCATATTCCATACCGAATCTGAAAAACATCAAACCAGATGTTTTAAATCTACATAAACATTGCCAATTTGACAATAATCAAATTTCCCAAGGTTATTAGAGTATCATAATCATTTATAGCACAATGTCTATATTTCTGGGCATAACCCCAAAACATTCTGTTTTTATACTGGAGATACTCAGAAATCCATATTTTTTAAATATCCCCATAACTATATATATATATATATATTTGTTTTAGTATCATTTACATAAATAATACTAAACTATGTGAAAATCACTGCAGTCTAACACTAATCCACACATTATCAAAATATAAACATACATAGGCAAGATATGTCCCAACTTTTTAATGGTTGAATGTGAGAGAAGGGAAAATAATGTTACAAAGATAGAAAATTCTTTAGTTCCATGAACATTTTTTCTTAAAAATATTAAAGAAAATATGGCAAAATATTAACATTGGTCAAGTTTTGATTGTGGTTGTACAATTTGTTGTATTTTATTTTGTATTATTTTTACATATGTAATATATTTTATAATTTAAAAAATACTGTCCTCAGAAAATTCAGATCACCATCTAACCTTGGGAGCTATTAGAATAACAACTGAGCAATGCAATTTATCACCCAAACTAGAATACTGTTGAGAATTAAAGAGAGTTATCAATAACTTCACCAGAATGGAGGCAAACTAGAATATATGGTTACCCTCAGAAAAAAAAAAAAAAAAGCATTAAGTTCCACTTATTGCATAAACTTTCTAACAGGAAAATTTATTTCTCTTATTTCCCCTAATCTCCTTCATTATAAGTTATCACAGATAGTTATGGACATATTTTGCTAATGTATTATTGCTAATACTATTTATTCACTGAAATACTTCAGGGAAATATTTAATTTTCAAAGGAAACATATAATAAATAATGAAAATACAGAAAATTTTGAAATTAAAATATCTCTGAGATATACTAATACAGGGTTAATCAGTCAACAACATGTAATGAACACTCAATATTTCAAAGTGATGCATTGAATGATGTGAAGTTAAAAACTAAACAAAAACAGCTTTAGACCTCAAGAAATGTCTTTTAACTAATTCTACATACAATATGCATAAAACAAGCCAAAAAATACAAATTCTACATAAGAGTGGAATGATCAGTAATTACTATTAAAAGGTCCAGTTTTAATGAATAATGACTGGAAACAGTTATATAATACAATCATTGCCAGTTGACAGTCTGAAAACCTAATTTCTATTTTCTACACTTGTGTCCTTGCTAACACCACAGTCTCTATCTGGACTCTTGCCTCTCCAGCTCCTGGATTATCTCATCTGCCCTTAGGCAAGATTTGTGGGTTTTGTACCATTTTGAGTTACTTTGCACTATTTGACCTCTTTTGTGCTATTTTGACCAAGGTGGTCAAATTAGAAAGGTTTATGTAACTAAGGCAGAAAATCACTCACAAATGCACTAATGAAAAAAAAGCAATTTATTGGCTCAGGTAGGCTAGTAGTCCAGATGTTGCTTAATTGAGAAGGCTCAAGTGATCTGATCAGGACCCACTTTACTTTTTTTGTGTTTTTAGTTCCTTCTCCAGTGTTGGCTTCATTCGCAAGCCACTTATTCACCTAGCCACTAAATTAATTCAGGTAATCCCCAATCCAATATCCTGGAGATTCACCTCCAGAGGCAAAAAACATAACTGTTTCCCAGGCCTTTCAAACAGAAATCCTGGACTTTCAAGCAGAATTTTTAACCTGACTTTAGTCAAGTACATTTCTCTGAAGTTGAGTGTAAATTGTGTGGAAATATGGATTGGTTTGCCCAAAATCTTATGTTCCACTAAAGTTAGCACAGGAAAATGGCCCCCAAAAGCAAAGTAGTATGATAGTCATAGGAAAGGTGAATAAATCCTGGATGGACAAAATGGAAGGAAAGAGGGAAAGGAAGGACAGAGAGAAGAAAGAAGGAAAGATGGAAAGAAGACGGCGTAAGAGTGGTGAAAACAGCAAAGACAAAAGGAAAGAGGGAGGAAGGAAGAGAGAAAAGACAGAAAAGAGTACACAGACAGTGGCATATTGGTAAATATTTAACAACCAGTTCTCAAAAAACAAATTAAAAAGTCCAAGTCTTTCTGTAGGCTTGGACATATTTCAGGAAGCAAACTCTCCTGTCACCAGTCCGTTCTTAGTGTCCCCTCCAGATAAGGGTGGAGTTTTTAACTCTTAACTCAAACCTCTGGCAACATGAGTGAGTACCCCAAATAAACTGCCATTGTCCACTGCTCTGCTTATTTTGAAACAGGGCTTTTAGGTTAAGCCCTATTTCATCAGACATCAGAACAGCCTCTGGTGCCCTTGAAAACCCCCATCAGGAATGCAGTGAATACTTATGGCATTCAATGAAGATACGGGGTAAAGGTTTGTTTTAAGCCTAAAGAGCAAGAAACAAAGCTCCAGGAAGACATTTCTGGGCTTAAGAGTTTCCCCATTTGGTGCCAAAGGAAACAATTATATTGAGTTCTGCTTGGGAGGGCAGGGGAAGTTAGGTAAATGGCCATGGTTTTAACAGCATGGTTGCTGGCTCTGGTATGTCCTGGCAGTTCCTTTGTTGGTGTTTGTGCTGTAGGTGATCATGCTTTATTACATATCACATGTGCAGAAAACGGTGGCTAAATCCCACCAAGTGGTAAAGATTTTAATATTATAATGAGCTGTCAGGTACTTTCCGCCACTTTTCTCTTCCCTAAGCATGTCCTTTGATCTCACGTAACAGATTTGATTCTGGGGCCTGCTACTTTCTCCTTTGGTCACCATAGCATCTTGATATTCTGCAAAGAAAGCTTGAAAACAAAATTTGCAATGATTTTATAGCTCGAGCAAGCAGTTTAACAATGCAGGGTACTCCTGAAACCTCTCACACAAGGGTTCTTTATAGTCCTGGTCTCATAGTATAGATTAGTCTTGGATTTCATAAATAAAATACCTATGTCTCAACTCTTTCTGTTCACACTCTCACCACAACTTTATTAAGACACAAAATAAATCATTTTGTAACCTCTGGCTTCTTCTCAGGCTGGTGAATAATCAAAACAGTATCAGGCAGGTTTGTACTGGATAAATAATGTATTTAATAACATACTTAGAAAGGATTCAGATGGTTGTAAGTTGTAAAGAATAATGGAGTGGACCAGGAATATTTATCCTGGGGTTTAGGACCTGGGTATCAAGGACAGAGATGGGGAGATTTCAAATAGCAGACAAGGCTGGGTGACTTAATCCTGACTCTGAGAGGAAAGTGAGATTCTTAGCTAGAGAGAAAATGTTTACTGAAAACCCAGAACTGGTAAAACTTTCTCAAACTACATTCTTCTAGACATAAAAGTTGAGAGAGAGCAGTAATCGGTCCTTAGATTAGGAAAAGATAAGTTTCTCCCAATCCTCAGACGCCTTCAATGTTCTCAACCCCAAATAATCTACTTTCTTTAAGTAATGGTTATGAAGCTCCTGAGGCTCATAGTGCCTTGAATCACAGCTAGTTATCATATGAAGGAGACCAGAGACCAGCCAGGCTTATTAAGAGAATCTATCTGACCCTTTTATGGGAAAACTGACTCAACAAATTCAAAATATCTGGTCACTGAACCCACACTTGGGAAGGAGATGTACAGTAGTATACCAATTTATACATCGGTAGTCAGAACCAATCACCTTTAATAACCTCAAAATCAGTATTACAATATAATAAAAAAATCAGGAATATATGTGTTCAGTGTTTAATAATTTTGCTTCTAATATGATTTATCTGCTTGTAAATCTACTTGTTAATTTTTAGTAATGGCAACAATCATCTCACAAAATGCCTGAAATTCAAAAACTGACTTTTCTTTGCTGGTACAAGCTGACTCAAACACCATCAATGACACAGCATCTTTCTCAATATCTGGAAAAATAATCACTCACTTACAACAAGCTATATTTGCACAGTGGTGTCTATTAAAGATCTGGTAGAATAATAGAGGTTTTTCATTAAAACAAACACTTCAAGTCAACCATTATAAATGACTGTTCTTAAAAGTTCTTCATCCCTTATATCACTGTGACTTTCACAATTTTTTACCACTCATTCACTTGTTAAAATAAAACACAAAGACCAGCCTTGAAAAATCCCTGAGCAGACAAAACCAGTTTGGTCATACAAAGTTTAATTTAGATTATTTTACCAGACTAACTTGACCTAGATCATTTCTTGTTTGTGTCTCTGGAAATCATAATCAAAATTTTAAACTGTTTCCCAAGGCTGATTCAAGGTAATCACTGACCAGTTCTCTATTATTTAAGAAAATTCTAATATTATAACCAATCACTGTGAAGATTAAACAGTCACAACTATAGGGGTAGAGAGGAAATTGCCTCTGAAGGTGTTCAGAACTGGCCTCCCCAAGATTCCCCAAACAGGCCTCCTCAGGCCATGCCACTTTGGCAAACAGATTATTTTGAGCTGAAGTCAACCTAGGACCTGGAGACTAAGGAGACTAAGGAGACTAAGGAGTCTCTTCCAAGACTTTACTCTTGGAAGAGTAAAGATTGGGGGTATTAGCCCAGATGTAGGATTATTTTTAGAAAATGACCTTTTTATCTGACAGACTTATCTATATTGTAGAGGAAGGTGGAGTCACCCCCCTTCTTGTCATCTGGCATCCCCCTTCTCTCTGCCCCAGGTTCCTAACCCATCCCTTAGTTTAGGGTTTAAGCCCTCTTCTCCCCAACTAAATGGAATTCTCATAATATATGTAGATCCCTGCATACATATTACTAAGTTGATTTTTTTTTTTTCCTTCTGTCAATTAGTCTGATGCTGTTTTGAATTTGACATGTCAAGAAGAACACAGAGAGGGGCAGGGGAATTTTCCCTTGTATGCCTACAACCCTTATTCCTCTGAGTTCTTCCCTAGCTGCTAGGTCAATAAAATTAACATAAGATAGATCAGTAGGAAAAAAGGAAAAAATCAG